CAGATGTTTTACATTTCTGTTATGGCAGTAAGTAAAAAAATCATAAGAATATGCCGATATGCGACGGGGTAATTCTCCTCAATCTCGAGTAAAAGACCTCCACAAACATTAATCTGAAATATATTGTATATCGAGAAAGACCCACGGTAACGATAACCTCACTTGTCACTGGAAAAACATATACATTCAACAGAGAGAACAGATTAGTGAGTGCTCAGTGATTCTTTAATATGATTGATTCTTGCTTTTATTAGATTTTCTAAATTTATGTGCAGAAACCAATCGTAATAAAAATATCATTAAACACACACTGATCTGCTGTCATCACATCAATCGATATATGTATATGTATATGTATACATCGATCGAAGCGTGTGAGGCTGAAAGGTTAAAAATTCTAGTGCTCTAGCGCCTCTTGCGTCAGAAATTGTAAAAGTACACTTCCCCCACCCCGCAACTGGTCGACGATAATGACGTTGACGTTTCTTAATCTGAAATTCCTACATTTCGGACTTTGCATTGCAATATCTCCGCTCGTAGGACATGTAGAAAAAAAATAAAATACTTTCATTATATAAATCGAACCCAAGCTATCGATTAAGTCTAGTTAGAACTTAATCGGTTCGACCGTTATTAAGATCTCAAAATCTCAGGTGCGCGCAACGCGACGGCTCGCGTTAAGAGACCCGGCATGGCTTGACATATATGACATAACATTTTTATATTATATTTTATTTATTTTTATATTTTTTTAACACTTGACACCAAGCCACTACCGTGTCTCCTGATTAATTTGTAATACAACTTTATTGTTTAAAACATCAGATATTTTACGTGTGTTCGCACAAAACTGTTTAGATTGGAATTACAAGGATGTATCTCGAGGAAGTAATCGATAGGGAAGGAGGTTCAAAGTAGTGTCTGCACTCTTAGTTTTACAAATTTAGAATATTTTAAGTATCCTCGATATATCGAAAATGTTACAGTCTTGAATTATCGTCGTAAAACTTTCGTAAACTAGGCTCGAAACTGACGTGCGCAGCGAATCTTTTAAGAAGCTTGACAAATAAAATTATTCATGAAATGTACTACACGGCGTCAGCTCGGATACCCAAAACTCTGACGAAATCTAACTTTGACGTGTTACCGCGTCAAGATTCATTTTTGCTTGTAATAATCGTCAATTTAAGCAGCCTGTGCAATATGTAACTTCTAGGCAATAAAATTTTAATATGAACTGTTAATAAACTATTAATTAATGTTTTTTTGAAAGAGGATATAATGTCAAATACAAGAGTGTATTATAAAGATAATAGAGTCAGTCATTTTTTACTATTTTTTCTCGCACTTTTTTATATGTTTATAAATGACTATAATAATATAATGACTTTTTCTTTCTCAAGCGATTTTTGTACAAGACAAATTAAAAAATCAAATAGTTGACTGACTGACGTAAATTCGGAGTTTATAGCGTTTAAAAAAATAATGTCGGTGTAATCTTACCACATTTTACAAAACGTACAATCGTTTCAAAGTCAGAGATTGCGAAGGAGGCAGAAGATACGCGACGGAAAATGATAAGCGAGTATCGCGGGAGAAGTCAATAAGCAGATTTATTTATTACACGCTCGCGCATAGAGACAACCTTCGAGATCCCGACGGATGTATGTCGCCGGTGTGATGACATATCAAGCTGTCTATTCCCATCTTCGTGCTATGTAAAGATCTCTATAGGGAAGGATTGCTATAGTATTGAAAAAAGGATTGTTAAAGTAATTTAAAGAAAATGAATGTGATAAAGAGAAAGGCAAAGAAGAGACTATTTGAAATTTTACACACACACACCACACATCTTCAACTGTTGAAAGAAAAATTTTGTTTTCTAAAAATTTCGAAAACTTTGGGTTATTTTGATGAAATTTGAAGCATATACAAAGCTTTATCAAAATAATCCGAGCGGTTTTTAAGATTTTTGGAAAAAAGCGAAATTTTTGCTTCAACTTTGACACCTTGTATCTTTGAAG